ACGAAGAGGACTCGAGAAAGGCCATAGTCCCAGCCTTAGACCGCCTCAAGTTTTTGAGGATGATCTTTCTATCACAAGGCACTTGCAGACGGATCACCAGAAGAGTTATATGTGTGCGTTACCTTCCTTTTGAGGGTTATCAATTTAAGTTTTGGGAGAAACTGATAAAAAAGGGAGTGGAGAATTAAGATCAACCCTTTCAAAAATTAGCACAAACACTAATAATTTTCGTCATCCAGAACTAGACGAGAAGAATTTTCCAGTAATAAAATCAAAAAATCTCATGCTTTTTATTTGACAAATTACGCACCACATTTGCTATCTATCATAGATATATTAACCCATATAGCATTATGGAAACTGGTCTACCATTTGTCATTAACAATGTCACTAAAACATACATTTTGAACTGGATACCCACATAATCTTTATTAATTGTTTATCAAAAACATTTTACAGTTTTTCGAACGATCATAACAGTACTAATATGTCTCTTGATTGTCTATGATTTATTTTAACATTTTAAAATACTGTTAGTTATCTATAGGGGTATAAATAAGAATTAACTTCTATAATAGTATCATGGGTCGAAATTGAGAAATTTCGAAATGTATTAATCATCTGGCATCAAAGCAAAAAATCAAGAAACAAAGAACAACCGTTTTAACGCTGTGAATGCATAAACAAGACAAAACAAACAGAGAAATAAATAAAAGTGTCGTATATTTTCTCAAAAGGCCTGTTCTCAGCTTAATACTGATTTAACGCAGGATTGAGACTACGGCGCTAATTAATCTATACTAATATTATAAAGCTGTAGAGTTTGTTTGTTTGACCGCACAAATCTAAATTACTTTTTTGAATTAAACAATTGTTTTTGTGTTTTTTTAGTCCATTTATCGGGGAAGACTATAAGCTATAAAACATTTAAGTGTGGGAGAGCCATGCTTCAGCACGAATGGGTCGGCTCGACCGGAGTGATACCACGGCCTCACAGAAAACCGGCGTGAAACAACCACAGCGTTGTGTTTCGCCCGGTGAGTGAGGTTACCGGAGGCCCAATCCTTCCGCTTCCCGGACCCTTCCCCAATCCCTAAATCTCCAAATCCCTAATCCCTAAAAGGTCGGCAACGCACTCGTAACTCCTCCGTTGCGGGTGTCCATGGGCGGCGTTGATTGCTTACCATCAGGTAATCCGTCTGCTCGTTTGCCGACTTATTACAAAATAAAAAATACTTATTTAAAAAAAAAAAAAACACGCTACGACATGTAGCAGCCGAGCAGCGGGTGAAACCGTGCGAGAGTAGCTAGTGTATGCATAAATTCCCGCCACATTCAGAAAAATTAAACGATTACTTACTCCAAGTCTTAGAATTTGATTTCGGAACAAATCCTCACTAATGTATAGCTTAAGTAATCATTAAATACCCATGAACGCTAGTAAGTAGAAATCAGAAGAGTATATTCATTGATCTGGCAAAAAGCGAGCAATTTTCAATATCTGTCTTGTCTCTAGCGTCAATGACAGTCGTAACTGCTTGTCAAAACCACAAAACATCTGATAACGGATCTTATCAAAATTTGATAGAGAGAAACGACTTTCTCTGCGTATAAAATACTGATATTCGACGACGACAACTTCAAAGCAGATAAAAAAACATTGTCAAGATGCAAAATATCCAGTAATGGCTGCGAATGAATAAATATGGCAAGGGTATCCTCATCCTTTTTTTTTCTTTTTTTTATGGAATAGGTGGCAAACGAGCAGACGGTTCACCTGATGGTAAGCAATCTTTCTTAGTCAATCATGATCATAATTTTTCCAGCTTACACAAAATCAAAATTGTGACGTCACTATGTTTTGTTGTGTATCCAACTATTTCCCCCAATCAACTTTTACGGTTTGCACGTAAGATAAGGAACAGATAACCTTTGCGTTTATTGTCGCATACCATTCGCTCTTAGGACACTAGGAAAACATTTAAAACAAATTTAATTGTATAAAAAAAATGTTAGGCATTCTTCGTTGATGACCACCAATCAAGTAGGTAAGTAGGCAACCTAAGAGGATCAAATTAATAAAGTAATTTATGACAAACCTCATTCGGCATTCTCGATAATTGTTTAATGTGTTAATCAATCAGTGTCGGCTAATCGACATAATTATCCTGGGGTCACGTTATCACACACTAGTGTTCACTTGAAACACATTTAGCACACCATCGAAAATTACATCATTTGCACTTCACTGAGACACTGATAAACTCGTTAGTATCGGTTCGCGTCGAAAAATGCGGCGATAAGAAAGTGCGGGCGACCGATCGCGTCAACAACCCGGTGCCGAGTGCGAAGCGACATCATGTCATGATGCGCACGCGCACCCGGCGCTTCCTTACACACGCAAAAACAAGGAATAAAGAAATTGGTACTTCGATGAATAATCTTGAAAAACGGAACGTTCCGTGTCCGTATTCCGCCGTTTCCTGATTCCGCTGAGATGTGATGAATGAGCGCGCGCGATCAACCGTGGCGCCACACCGATGCGTTTTTTCCTCGACTAGAAAGTTGACCAACAACTACGTAGTGCCATCGTTTCGCGGTATGTGTAACGTAATACTATATACACGAATATTTTCGCATACACGTGTTTCTAAAACGACACCATTAACGACGACGAACATCGATAACTGGAATCGTGAATAAAATCGTTACTTAATTTAAATTGCTCTCAAGATAAATATAGATCGAGACAGTGCCTTGGTTTAAGGTATTTTGCAAGATTTCGATCCGGTATTAAGTGGCCATTAACCCTGAATATAAATAACAGTCACATGTTTTGATCCAAATTGAATACTCGTCCAATTTTAATTTCACCTTACGATAAGCATTACGACATTCGAATTACCTTGTCTATAACCAGGGTGCCGAATGCGAGATACATATTTTTGAGTTAACACGATCAAAAAACATTACCGCGTTTAGCCTTCTGATTGGATGACTAACTTGAAGTAGGCCAATCAGAGCACTGAACGTCAAAAAGGAGTCAATCGCATTAACTTAAAGCAAACTCGAAATAGGAATTAAGATATAAATGTGATCTATGAGTGGACGTTAGCACATGAAACTATACCAATCCATAATCGATATCCAACCTTATCATTGTTAACATTAAAACTAATAGCCATAGAAGCTAAAGGCGCGTTTAAAATACATACGTTTCAATGATCACAATAATACATTGAACTAAAAACCACGAAAAATTGCAAAGAAGTAACACGGTTTGCGAATTTCTAAACAGTACACATACAAAGGTCGAAGTATCGCTTCAAAAATATACTGTTACTCATTGTTTGCGCAGATGCCGTGAATTTGTGGGTAGCACACATACCTACTGTTACTGTGCTGACTATGTGAACCATGAGAGTTGCCGCGGTTATTCTAATTTCACGGAAACCGTTCAAACGATCCTAATAATTCTATTTTTGTTACTTTACTGTTCTTGTTTTAGGGTTCCATAACTTATTTTTGAGGGGATTAAGTCACCTGGTAGATTCTTGGGTGACAGGGAATTTCAAATTCTTATTGACTAAAAAGCACCCCGTTCCATCTCCCATTTGCTTGCACCCAAAACTCTGAAAGATACAGCATTTCAAGTATCGAACGGATCCTTGTCTGGTTTCCTGTTTCTCAGCAGGATTTTTTATAGAATACCTGATACCTGATGGTGGGCGATCAGCGCCGCAGTACGAGCTGTGCCTCAAAAACTGTGATAGATTAGTCAAACTATTGAAATTTTCATTGATAATTTATAAATTATAAACACACTACTGTCATTATTAATAACTACATAATAAAGATAAGGCTACGGAACCCTACATATGTGTGTGACTCGCATTTTGCGGGTATTTTATGAGAAGCCTTTTAACAGGCCCCGTGTTATTGTTAATTTATTTCTTTCGGACTTTTACCTTAGGCGAGTAAATAAGGAAAAGTTTTGTTTAAATACCGTTATAGCAGCACATCTCGGCTTATGATCCATAACATTAAATATGCTTATGTTTAATACGCTCAATTTTTATTATTTACATGTATTGTTAGTTCAATTAATTGAAAACAATATTTTTTTTGTATAGTATATCCATTGCCCTTGCCCTGCGCTCCATAACTAAAATAGCAGATATCGGAGAAAAAACAGCCAGGCTGAAGTGGTAGTGGGCTGGCCACGTCGCACGAATGCACTCGGACAGATGGGCGAAGATTGTCACTCACTGGACACCAGAAGGAGGTCGACGCCGTCGAGGTCGACCACGGCGAAGGTGGTGTGACGATCTGATCATGTACGCGGGTCAAACTTGGCCGGAGATCGCTCTAGACAGAGATATTTGGAAGGAAAAAGGGGAGGCTTTAATTTCAAATAAATGTATATGCAATTTAATATAAAAAGATGTGAGTGACGTCACAGTTTGATATGGGTGTTGATTTAGATTAATTGCCATGTACCTAATTAATGGGCAGATACATACAAACAGTTTTGAGTAGACCCTTAATTATACTCTCCCTAAATTATACGGGCAAACCCGCAATTTAGAAGTATGGAAATCTAATCGCATTGATAACACATAAATATCGTTATCAGTATACATTCAATAACAATTGTAATTAGTCATATGATAACAGTAGATTGGGTATAACATACTACAACTTCTTCATAGTAACTTCATAGAAAGAGTGCCTAGAAGATTCCTAATTCTTATAACTTTGAAGCAGTTCCAAATTCTGATATTAAGCAGATTTTGGTTCTGGGCCGAGGTCGCGGTGCCTCATTGCGCTTACCCCGCAACCCCGGCTGAACATCAGCCCTATAGGGCCCCGTCTGTGGTGGTCTATTGGCTCTTTAAGGCGCGCGCGGAACGCTACGCACCTGGCCTGGTTCTGGTCGGGCGGCGAGCTGCCCTTACTCGCCGACCGCAGAACCGCGCGCTAACGAGACGTATTACATGTTAAATAATTGGCACCACCCATGGACATCCTTTTGCCGTTTTTTTGCCGGAAAGGTGCTGCCGATAGTTTTTTGCAACACTAGATAAGTTGCAAGTGGGTTGCGGGCTTTTGAGGATAAGGGGTTTTGGGCGGAAGAATTGGGCTGCCTGTAACCTCACTCAAAGGGCGAAACACAACGCTGTGCTTGATTCAGACCGATTCTCTGTATGGTCGTGCCGGCCCAATTGTGACGAAACATGACTATCCCACACTTAAACCATCGTTAATAATTCAACAGACAAGAAAGAGAACAGGAGATTATAGAAGAACCCCAATCATTTATGCTTTTCCGCATCAATGTTAGATACGTAAGTATAGATTGGTAGTTTTGAAAGGAAAGTACAAAATGGGATCGTCACTGTGTATCATTTTTTTAAATTTCCTCTACAAGCAAAAAAGTAAATATGAATTATAATTGTTTCTGCTTAATTATACCGTTTAATATGCTAAATTAGTTCAGTACATAATATTTATTGTTGGCAAAACCCCGTCAAAGGAAAACATGCAACGAATACTGGCATGCTATTTATAATTTGTCATTTTAATATCTTCCATAATCATGTTTTAATGTAGGAAAATCGTGCGAGTCCGCAAATTGTTTATTTTTTTATGGGATAGGTTCCAATCACCTGATGGTATGCAATCGGATCAGAGTTACAAGTGCGTTGCCAGTCGGATTTATGTTTTTGAAAACAAGGGATTTGGAGATTGTAAATAAGAGTGTACGATTGGGCATCCGGAGGCTATCGCATATTGTGATTTAAAGCTGATAATACGAAATATAATTGTCACTAAATATACGATGAATAATCCGTTTCAAATATCATGTATGAGTAAACAATACAAGAAAGTGTAACTAGAACGAAATATATATAGGTCTAATTACATTTAGTCAGCATTGTTGGTTAATTGCATTCTTCGACGCAGTTGTCGTAGGTCGCAACGATTACCTAAATGAAAATAACTGCACGTTTAATGCAAAGTCTACGTGACCAACTGCGTAGTCGGTACAATTGGGACAATGTTTTAAAGAATCAAGATTAATATTCCTCTTACCTTATCGCTATCTGTCGGTAGCGTTCCGTAGCCGTACCAACTTCTAGCTGCCTTCAGCCTGGGCTCCTCTCTCGGCGACAGCAGGCCGCTGCCCCATCGGGCCAGTCCTTCGGCCACAGCTGCCACGCTTGGCGTGTTCGGGCTGCCATTTGGAGAGTTAGGAGACGGAGCCGACTTCTCAGCGACAGGAGGCAACGTCGGACGTGCACAACCCGTCCGCCTCTCATAAATCCTCTTTAAAGGCTCATCTATATCCGTCTCCAACAACCCTTTCTTATCACTCCCCCTTTTAATCTCATTGACTTTCTTCGTTTCATCTTTCTGAGCACGCTTCGCTTCAGCTTCTTTCCGTTTAACACTTTCATTAGAGTCCTGACGACAAAGTAAAGCCTTTTTCAAACTCTCACTCGAGTCTTGTTTTGAGATCTGACCTTTCTTATCCGACTCCTTACTGGCAGACTTCTTATCATCTTTAGATAGTAGCGCACGTTTAAGGCTATCAGTGGAATCTTGTTTATTTATTAGTTTCCGAGGACATTCTGTGTTCAGGGAGTCGGTCGTTTTCGATATGAGCAATTTCGAGTAATCGTAGGGAGCATGATCGTTGGAAGGGGGGTTGAGTTCGAGCGACCTCCTGTTCTTGCGTTTGTCCGCTGGTGCGATCTGTGCCTTGGCGGGCAGCAGACGACGTGGGAGGAGGCTGCGGTGATCAGCGAGGGGAGATTCCGGTCGCAACATCTTGAGCGGCGCTACTGAACTGCCGCGTAACTGCACTCGCCTGGAACAAACAAAGAATTTTACATTAATTATCAACTTAGCATTACGGCTTTATTTTCACGATGGAAAGGGCAGAGGCTATAATATGATATGCAAAATCCATATCTTAGGATGACTTAAAATTATTACAATGCAATTAATGTAATCTCTGTCACATCTAGTATTATGTAACATAAGAAAACAAGTAGTTAATAATCATCATTGTAATCTAGTTAAGGCAGTGGAGACATTACCGTGTCAATACAATTAACTCAAGTCGTTGTTCACATAAAACATTCTGTTGTATGTATGTGAATTCTTAGATAGGTAGGTATATCACGTTATACAAGTGTGTTGGGAGCGATGTGAAATGTGTAAACACGGGCAGTGATAAGACAGGGTATCTACAAAATCGTACATGAAACGTCATTTAAATTTATATCTTAAAGGTCTGGGTTATCAAGCAAGGTTTAAAGTTTACAAATACAACGTTTCATATGAATTTCAATAGTCAACATAGGTGTGTTGTGTCTTCCTTCGCATATTTTGACTTCTACGAGTATAATAATAACTAGCTTTCTCTAATATATGTACATCTGATGCCACAGCTTAGGTAGGGTTATTAAAACTTCTCTAATATACGTCTCGCTGTAACAATATATTGTAAAAGATATACCATATCAATCACTTCGTGAGAGGTAAGCTTTGAAATCGATCCACTAGTTTCACAGTCTGTTTAATGCACATACAAACAAAGAAATCATCATTATTTTCTTAATATACTGATATAGATTTTAATTAAGTCGCTCGATACTTTAACACACTTGAATCTATTTTGAAAAACCCGTACAGCGTACACAGCAGTGTGGGAAAACCTAATAAACTCTGGCAGTTAAATTTTACAGTGATAAATATTACTTATACGGGAATACCGTATTGATTATGTTCAAAAGAGAAACCAACACTTGAAATCTTAATTTATTCTTAAATAACAAACATATCTCGGAATTGCTTGTTACGATAAACATAACTATAGTAATATCACAAATATTATACGTAACGTCGTAACTTATTACTCCTGTACTTTCCCAATGTTGATTTTTAATAATTAATAATCGTCAAATCAAAAGTTAGTAGGCATAATTTATACCAAACTATTTAAGCCATTTGGAAAACACGTTGGACCAAAAAATGTCCTTGCGAATTCCACAAGCCTTAACAGGAACACTAGTTAGTATTGTAAATTTTAAAGTTTTAGTGATTAAATACTTGAAAAACAATTCAGATTCCAGATTCTTCGACACATTGTATTTGAGAGCTCATTAAAACTAAGACATTCATGACCCCATTATGATACGGGGTTATTCCATACAAACCGTGTTATTTACTGACACAAAGACCGAACCATTAACAATGGTCAGTAATGAGGACTTACAGAAACGACCACTACATATGATATAATTTGACTTGTGATTACGAAGTAATGACCTGCCATGTCCTTTGTTAGCCTACATGCATTGAGAGAACTAGTAATTTTAGATATTTTCTGTAGAATAACAAGCATTTTACAACAAACATTTTATGGCTTTATCAGTGACAGGAAAAATTTACTGAGGATTTGTAATTTGCGGATGATGTGCAGTCTAAACTTAGCCGAGGCTTGTGCTTTAAATCTCCAAGTTCCATTACCTACATAACAATAATAATAGCATAAATAGGAATATCAGTGAATATGATGTGAAGATACGTATACGTGAGTTCGCGCAGATTTAATAGTCATAGTGTCTAGAAGATAGTAACTACTAACTAGTTTGAGTTGATTTATATGGAAATAAAGTAGAATATTGTCTGCTAATTAAATGTGTAGTAATGGCCAGAGTTGTAATTAATTAAGTATCTAAGGATTAATTATCTAAATTAAATATTGAAAATATCAATTCAATCACAAAAATAAACCTAATAAATTATTTCGAGCCTAAATGATTATGTAAAAACAGACTTTTGTGTTGTTTTGTGTGGGTACGATGATTGGAGATGACGATGATGATTATGATGACGATGATGATTATGATGATGATAATGATATCAAAAAAACATTCAATCGTAAAACATCAGACTCCATAACATTGAAAATAAACAAAACCCAAAAAGAACGTTTAAGTAAAATTCTTTGATTAAAGCATAATTAATTTCATCAAGCCGTAGCCGTCCTCAATTTGCAGAGATGCGACGATTACATTATTCACGTGAAGTTTAATTAAAACACTACCCACTTGCCCTCTTCAATTGTAATCTACTAAACTTGGTAGAACATGAGCGAAACGAAATTACCGAGGCCGACTGTTAACTGCTATCTTTGTCTTTTATCATTGTTTGTAGCTGTAGTTTTGTGGACAGGTTTTTTATGTTATAAACTACGTTTAATAAAAAACAAATTGTTAATTGTACTACGAGCCCTACAACCAAATATTCAACAAATCTAAGAAGGTACTAGCTGTTTACATTTCTTTTTTTATATATTATTGTTATTTTGTAGTATGTAAAATGTAAGTGTGACTAAAAACCACCCCTCTTCCTGCTCCACAGCAAACCCGCGGTATATAGTCGTGTTTGCACTCACAAACCCGGTTGAAAACAGATTTCAACTAGAATTTCTTCATTGTATGTATTGAACACAATGTAAAGGACGTGCTAGATGAATAATGCATTGATAGTTAGGAAGATTGATAATATTTTGATGAGAAACTAATTTGTTTTGAGGATGATCGGTAACAAATTACCACGATAAGAGGATCACCCAGAACCTCTTGCGTTAATGATTGTCAAGATCCACAGTTAGAATGATACCAACTCGGTCAAAATCAATACGATGTCTTTTCTGGACAATTTGAAAGAGATTGGAGTACGCTCTATGTTGTCTTGGAAGAAGACTTAAAAATGGGAACTAGTCACACAATATGATTGTATTTCTCATGTAGTACTTTTGCTGGTAAATGTATAATTAGATTATAATACCTGTTAGGCACAGCATAAACATTGAAGGCCCACCAATAAAACCAAAATTCTACACTGCGACTGATAAAGCAACAGAGAAGAGCCAGACGCGGAATCTCAAGGAAGGCTTCTGGAAGGATCAATCCTTATTGAACCTATAGGTTTATAAAATGAGAACATATAAGTGTAACGATATCAGCTACTGAGTAATCATAATTACATCAAAAGTTATTTCCTAACCGAGATAGTATTCTAATTACACAGCAATTTGTGCCTTCGTTGCTTCAGATAAGGTGGTGTAACTTAATGTTGAATGCGCAGTTGCTAGACAAACAGCTGTCGGGGGTTGGATTCCGGCACTGAACAAGTCTTTGTGTGACCGCAAGGTGTTTTGGGTTTAAGTGTGAAATGTGAATTTGTTTGATTGTACCCACGACATAGAAGAAAATCGAAGTGTGTAGCATCGTTAAAAAGTGGTGGCTGTACAGCAATTGTGGTATGCCAATACAATTCATAAACAAGAAGTCGTGTCTCAAGTCATGTACGGGCGTAATAAATGATAGCGCGGGCATTGTAAATAGAATTATCAATGAAACTGCAGTTCAAATAGTAGGTTTTACAGCTGGTTGACAGAATTATTTAAAAACTGTAATTTTGGGAGGATGAATACATTTAATTACGACCGACTGAAGGTTTGGTGTGGCCTGGAAATTCAGACGCCCGCTTCTCATGCATAACGATGCGGGAACGAAAGCAGCTTAAACCTTCTCCGCCTGAGAAGAGGCCTTGGTATATAGTGGACTTTCAAAGGCTGATGGTTTTTTTTGTGAGGGAAAAATCTTCAAATGACTTCTCCCGCCCAGGGCCGGGCGGGAGGGAGTGTCAGACTCTTACTGACTAAAACCCCCCCTGTTCCTTCTCCTGTTCTGGGCGAGGTCGCGGTGCCTCATTGCGCTTACCCCGCAACCCCAGCTGAACATCAGCCCTTTAGGGCCCCGTCTGAAAGGCTAATGATGGCTATCAGTATATTGGCTAAGGAAACAGCAGAATTCTTTATTTTATCAGTGGCCTGCGGGTGCTTTCGGAATTAGCTAGTTTGGATCCTTTTTAGCATTACAGATTGTGTTGTGTGGTGGATATAAAAAAAAGAGTTGTGAACTTCGATTGTGGCATCATCAAGTTATCAATGACATAATGGTTAAAAAACAAACAGTATTTAAACATTCTTCTGGATTTTACTGACTTATCTGTAAAGAAATTATAAGTAGGTATACCAAAGGTCGTGTAATATTGTGAAGCCTAGGTACCTATAATACAAGTTTACGATAACGTATGTTTTGTTTTAAGAGTTATCGAGAAATTGATAAAAACCACAATCAAATTAATAACACCAGAATATTTTACGTAATAAGAAATTTAAGTCTTGGCATAACACTGCGCAGTTTTTTCTGGCCTCACAGAAAACTGGCGTAAATAATCCTCTCCCCCTCCCCTATCCTCTACATCCAGACTCAAATCACAAACCTCTTATTCTTAACAAACAGGTATCCACTTGTCCATGGGCGAGGCCGACTGTTGATCAGGTCTGTTCATTTTTCAGGTCCATCCCACAAAATACGTAAATACAGTTCTAGACACCTGGACAACCATTCCAACTAATCTATTTCCAAAAAAAAAATCTAAGTAAGTAAGTAATCACCAATATAGTTACAAGTACATATGTCTCCTTAAACTCGACAAAAAAAACTATCACTAAAAACTGTACAATCTTAAAACAATACGGTTGGCAGAGTTTCGTAAATACAAAGACAATAGAACATTACACGAGCATAGTATAAAAGAATTAATAAGTGAATTATCATGAGAAACAATCAACCATGCTTGTTTTACATTTATTTCAACATAAGTTTTTCTTACACACGATTTCCCACGCACATAAAAATTTCAGCATTTTACCGTTGTCTGAGAAGTTTTGAAATTTTTAAGGATACACTGTTGACCTACGATGACGTGTTAAAACGTGAATCT